CCCGTTTCTCACGTATTCTAGCTCATGATTACTACTCTCACTTGAGGACTTATCTCTTTGCCGGCTGGCAGTCTCTCTGTTCAGGTCTTCTCGCCAATAAAGTATATACTGTAAAACACTCCGGCTCCACTTGGTTTGTCCCATTCCATCTGTTTGCGTATTAGACACACCTGCCTAACACACTCCTGCCTCATGTCAGGTTCCGATCCACCCCTGTGTTCCTCGTTCAGTCCCATACGTTCTGCTTTTCCTCACTTGCTCCCCCCCCTTACCCAACCTCCCAACCTGCTGGACATCCTTGCGGAATCCCACACTTTTTCCTTTGACAAGTTGTCCTCCTTCCCTGGATGCATATCCTCCATTTGATCTAATCGCCTTTTCCCCTTTTGCTAATCCCTGCTTTACCCCCATTTACTCGCCTTCTTTACCATCACCCTTCTTTACCCTTTTTCGCTACTATACATTCCTATAGTGCTACTTGACCTTCGCTTTCTAGCACACTGTGTGTATTTAGTGGTTATAAAGTAAAACAACACACACACACATATGTACATATATAAATATATATAAATATATATATACATATATATATATATATATATATATATATATATATATATATATATATATATATATATATACACACACACACACATGCACACACACACACACATATATATAGATAGATATATGAATATATGAATACATATTTTTCCAACAACCATTCATTCCACTGCAGGACGTAGGCCTCTCTCATTTCACTATTGAGAAGTTATTATCTCTCATTCTCTCTCCTTCTGCGTGTGTGTCTATCGCTCTCTCTAACTGTCTGTTTCTCTTTCTCTCTCTCCCTCCCACTTTCTCTCTATCTGTTTGCTCTTGGAGTGTTGTGGAGTTGAATTAGAGTTGTCGCAGTTTTCACGTTTTATTTCACAGGAATATGGTAGTTGGTGTACAGAGGGCAGGCGTGGCAGAGACGCCCAAGGAGGAGCGAAGCCTCTTGCCACGCGCGCGGGGCGAAGCGATCTGAGAGAGAGCTTGAGGGAGACTTCGGCTCTCTGAGAGTTTGAATGGTTCACAAAATATCCGCTAAACATAAGAATATGGCAGCATTGATTTTGGTGGGAAATGCCAATACAGACTCTGTTTTATAGCAGGGCAAGGGTCCTGTGGTCACAGGTTGGGTCAGGGACACTGGATATGACAATACAATTAAATAATGAATATTGGATAACTACAATATCGTCAATAATAATGATTACAAACATAGTGATTGAGAATAAGGTAAGGATTTTTTTACAAACATTTTTAGTATAATCAAGATATAAGTACACTTGTAGTTATAAAGTATTTGACAGTAAGGGTCGGAATCGCTTGCTCTGGGGGCACTTCACTATTGTCGTTACTTTCTGGGCGCAGGTCAAACTCGGCATTACCAATAGGGTCCTGGGTACCGTGGGAAGTCGAGGGGAAAGGTCATTAAATCGTCGGTAAGGGTCGGAATCGCTCGCTCTGGACATATCGGTGTCGTTCTGTTTTGGACGCAGGTCAATATTGGTACAGGCGATAACCAGTAGAGTCCTGGGCACCGGGGAGAGGGGTAGCCGAGGGTATGAAGAGGGGGAGGTTATTAAACTCTCTATCTTCTTTCTCTCTCTTCTCTCTCTCTTTTTTTTCATTAAAGATTTTAACTCGACCTCCTATTCGTTTCAAACGAGTCTCTGTGTTGTGAAATATATATGCAATAATATTTCACAGAACAGTCCACTGGCCCCGTCCTCGCCAATGGCTGTGGTCGACATCCAACTTATTTTAGGGAGATGTATTTTAATTACTTTAATTACTTTATTACTTTTGTTTACAATTGCATATTTATCTCTATTCTACTATTTACAACAGTTTCCTCTATATCTAAATCCTTGAGACTAGTGTACATTGCCGGTTTGTTCCTTGTTCCTTGTAGACAGAGCAGTGAAGACCGTAGTAGTGAGAAGGCCAATCGACACCTCATCCATGCAACGACGGCGCTCTTCTGTTGCTGCCTTTTCTCTGCAAGTTGTTGTGCAAGGGATGAGTAGAATATCGTCGCTCTCGGTGACATTCCCGCAGAAGTCGT